TTTTTTTTTTTTTTTTTTTTTTTTTTTTTTTTTTTTTTTTTTTTTTTTTTTTTTTTTTTTTTTTTTTTCCTTCTTACATAAATCAGAGTTTAGTTCCGTACAACGATCCTAGAGTCAGAAAGTCAAACATTCTTAGTTGAACGTCTCAATTCTTTACCATCCAACTCAACTAAATCCACTAATAATTAAATATTAAATAATTGATATCATTCATATCAGTTACAAGCATAAAATATTATTGTTGGATGATTAAAGTCTCACATCAACTAATTTAGAGAATGATCACAAGTTTATAATCAATTAATACTGTCTCCTCCATTAGTACGAGGCCTTTTGGGGAAGCCCACTCAAAGTTAACAATATCATACCATTGTGGAGAGCGAGGAGTCAAGCCTCGATTAAGAGGAGACGTACTTTGTTTGAGGTGAGGTGTTGGATGATGAAAGTCCCACATCGACTAATTTAGTGAATGATCATGGGTTTAATCAATGAATTCCCTTTAGCGGAAGCCCACAATATCATATCATATCATTGTGGAGAGTCTGTTCATCTAATTTTTAAAATCTTACTAATCCCAACTTTTATAATTTGGGTTGGGTAGTCTGAGTTATGAACACTGCCACACTGTCACCCTTTGTATGTTTTTTTTTTTGTAAATTATATCAAATAACTCTTAATTAAGGCAAACCGGCTGGACCTTAACTTCGAAACCAAAGCTGCGTACGAGTCCATCCACAATATGGCCCACCTCCAGCGAAGCCTAAGCCCACGCATCCTCGACTCACCAGAAAGCGCGGCCCAACTAATCTTTGCGCGCAACCAAGCCTACCGAAGAACCGGACGGCACTACGAGCCATCACCGGCGAGCGCAATCCAAACCTTGCAAACCAATCCCTAGGTGCACGCTCGACTCCGCCTCATATGTAGCATGTGTGCGAGCTACTCCAAGCGCGCAATCCAAACCTTGCAAACCAAGCCCTTGGTGCACGCTCGACTCCGCCTCGTGTGTAGCATGTGTGCGAGCTACTCCAAGCGCGCAATCCAAACCTTGCAAACCAAGCCCTTGGTGCACGCTCGACTCCGCCTCGTGTGTAGCATGTGTGCGAGCTACTCCAAGCGCGCAATCCAAACCTTGCAAACCAAGCCCTTGGTGCACGCTCGACTCCGCCTCGTATGTAGCATGTGTGCGAGCTACTCCAAGCGCGCAATCCAAACCTTGCAAACCAAGCCCTTGGTGCACGCTCGACTCCGCCTCGTATGTAGCATGTGTGCGAGCTACTCCAAGCGCGCAATCCAAACCTTGCAAACCAAGCCCTTGGTGCACGCTCGACTCTGCCTCGTATGTAGCATGTGTGCTAGCTACTCCAAGCGCGCAATCCAAACCTTGCAAACCAAGCCCTTGGTGCACGCTCGACTCCGCCTCGTATGTAGCATGTGTGCGAGCTACTCCAAGCGCGCAATCCAAACCTTGCAAACCAAGCCCTTGGTGCACGCTCGACTCCGCCTCGTATGTAGCATGTGTGCGAGCTACTCCAAGCGCGCAATCCAAACCTTGCAAACCAAGCCCTTGGTGCATGCTCGACTCTGCCTCGTATGTAGCATGTGTGCGAGCTACTCCAAGCGCACAATCCAAACCTTGCAAACCAAGCCCTTGGTGCATGCTCGACTCGCCTCGTATGTAGCATTTGTGCGAGCTACTCCAAGTTGTGAACAACCCTTTTACATATAATTCTATATTATAATTTGTTAGTGTTTTTATGTGATCATCTACTTACTAATATGTTGCTATGATGCACCACGTAATATCAAGTATGTATGAAATTTTCGTCTCAATGGGAGTTTCATGACCCTATACCATGATTTTATATGCAGAACCTTATGCACATTGTATGTCACAAACATCGATTACTTTTCTAGTATATTACATACAGACGCATACATTACAATATGATACACACTCCTTTTCTTTCAGTTGGTTTTCGACAACGTGAGTGTACATTAGCCTGTCGTCAGGCCTAAGAGGTATGTGTTAAGATCGCACAACATCGCACACACTCGGATGAACACAAAAAACAGAAAAGAGAAAACCTCTTGCATAGCTATTTACTATTTATGACAATTTGTCTGACAATTTATTTATATGTCATTTACCACTTTAGTACGCATAAGGTTGGCCAAGCTATAAATAAGCATGAGACTCCATAACCTATCAGTAGAGTACGTATAGCTTTACTATGTATAACAGTTGACTAAGCTATAAATAAGCATCAAGCTCTATAACCTAACAGTACGTATACGAGCGTGCATATAGAAGTACTATGCATCTAACCATACCCAAAAACGAAAGTAGAGTTTAAGGAATAGTCATAAAAAGAAACCATGTTGCATGTGATTGCATTTCTCGACTCCAACGGTTGAGTCACTTAATATTTTTAATCACCCGCCTTACATCTAACATTTTTCTAAATAAGGCAAGGGCCCTATGTACGGATGATGGCATTAGCCGAGAAAGCCATGGAATCAAGTCCAATTAATTAATTTTCGGCATTTAGGTCATAGTCCTTAAAAATCGAAACATTGGCTGTACTATCATGTGTGTAAAGTTTGGGTAGCATTCCGATCTTAAGAAAAGTCGTCCTGCTTGACCAAATATCCTCTAATGTACCAAGCTTTCAATCACTCTGTTAGATTCAAGCCATGTCTCTCACTAACTTCTCTTTCTTAGTAGACAGGGTAGAGAATGAATGTGCTTGGGAGTCCCTTACAACATTAGGAAAACAATTCAATCCCATGGTAGAAGAGAACAAGAAAAGCTCATACCAACGAGGAACCATCCTTTTTTGGGGCGGAAGGACTCGGCAGAAGACCGGGGTTTGGAGGGAACTACTAAAGGGATATGCATAAAAAGGTCCTTCGATGAAAGTCTCATAGGCTAATTTAGGAAATTATCATGAGTTTATAATCAATGAATACTATCTTCATTGGTACGAGGCTCAAAGCAAAGTCATGAGAGCTTATGCTCAAAGTCGACAATATTATACCATTGTGGAGAGTCATGTTCAACTAATATGATATTAGAGTCATGCCCTAAACTTAGCCATGTCAATAGAATACTCAAATGTTGAACAAAGTATCGTGAGTTTCAAAGGCATAGTCAAAAGTGGCTAAAGCATCGAACAAAAGAGTATACTTTCTTCGAACTGACTTTAATTATTGAAATATATTTGGTTCATAATAATTAAATAATTAAGATAGGAAAGAAAATAAATAAAACTCTGATTCTCATCATAATAACATCATATCCGCCTTTGATGGCAGACGCTTGAAGAAATTGACCGGAACGGACGGCAACTTCCTCCTCAATCTCGGGTGCCGGAGCAAATACAGTCCGATCAGAATCGCCACCACTTGAAACGGCGTGACGTAGATGAAAACCGCCCACATCAACGAGAAGATGATGAACAATGCCGTAGCCCTTGGATCCCTCCACCCGAGAATCGCTTGAGCCCTTTCCCCTTGCGTCGCCAAATCTCCTACCACTGTCTGCACTTTTCCGGCTACGCTCCTTAATCGGTCGTACCTCATCCTCACCGTGTCGATATGCTTTGTCGTCGGGAAGTTGTCGAACTCTTCCTCTAGCTCGTCTGGGAGAGCGTGCTCAGCCTGCGACAATCTCGCGTCCATGTGCGGCGGATTCATCGGCCGGAACCGGTAATTCCAAATTCCAATCACGAACAGGTAAAGGAAGACCGTCGGGAGGATTAATTCGGGGTAGCAAACAAGAATGAAGAACAGCACATGGACGAGGCAGGTTGTGATAGGGTTTTTCCAAATGCATACATCGTTGAACCATCGGTAAATCGCGGTGATTCCCGAGAGAAGCAGCATTATCCGATTGAAATTCGCTTTGCTTCTTCTAAGGCTAAACATGTGGTAATCGACATCGAGCATGTACTCCACTGCCTCTCGCCGCAGTGGTGGCTCAGCCCGGGACAACCTAGTCGCTACGATGTTCATCGCGTGGAAGCGGAGTAGATCCATGTGTCGGACAGGGATTGGCTGTAGGTAGTGCATTTTGGGCAGTAATGGCTTCCCGTACTGTGTCAGCATGTTGGCCCAGGCCGTGCAGGTGAATCTTAGAGCCAATTGAAGCTCGCCGTGCTTTTTCAAGCCAGAGGGCTGAAGAACCAACAAGGGGTAATAATGCGTATACACTTTGTCTATCTCTAATGTGGATAATCGAATCCTTACTTTACCGATTCTCTGGTCTTTTGCGTCTTCTTTGCTTCCATTTGTGTGTGCGTTGTCGAATACTCCGATTGTGATTACAGTGCAGGGATCGTAGACTTCCCAGGTGTACTGTTCGTTCCAGCGAGGGGCGAGGGTTTCCAGAAGAGTTCTGGTGCGTACCCATTTGTTGCCGTATTTGGCCACACAGTAAGCATCTGTGGTTTTTCCTTCTTTGCTCTTCATTGGAAGAAGATTTCGAGCGCTCAAAATCCCTAACTCGAGTACTCCGATGCTGTCTTTTCTCAGGATTTTGGAGGATGGTTGAAGGTCGCTGCTGAAATGAGTTGATTCGTCAAGAACATGGTAGCCTGAGTCGATCCAGAGACGAACATGGATCTTGCTGGAGAATTTCTCCTTCTTTTTCTCTGTTTCTTCTAATTGAGCGATGAATGGGCGGTGGAGATTGTACCAGCGGGCGTCAGGGAGTTTCGTGGACTCGATTCTCTGTGGAACTTCTCTTGATGGGAGGATCACTCTCCCAAGAATCTCCGCTGTTCCTCTGTCTTCAACAGTGATGATGATGAAATCTTCAAATGGCTCGGGCGCTACAAACATCAG